ATATAGCGGCCTTTTGCGGCCTCATCTCTGTGTTAAATTAATTGTCGGGATTAAATTGTTTCAACACTGCGTTGTTGACATTGTAACATAATACGTATTTATCTATCATTTGCGATGCGGTCGCTCTAAGGCCCACCCACCTTCTCCTTAACCCACTTAACTTTCTACCTTATTCCTTTTCTTCTATCTACTATCCTCTAAAAATACTCTCAACATCTTCATTTTTACAACTTAATCCTTTACTTCATAACTTTCTATTCTATGAGGCTAAGTCTAATTCAATAATAGACAGCCTCCTTAATTCTGTAATAAATGAAATGAAATGAAATGGGGCGTAGTTACAGAAGCTCGCACTGGGCACATAAAAGGCTAGTTACAGCGCTGCATCAGACATGACTACCTGTGGTATGGAGGGCAAACAGACATGCATGGATGACTGCAGCCATTTTGGAAGAATGGTTGCAGAATTTCAATAATTAAACAAAATGGTTAAGTGCAAAGTACTTTTGTTTTTGGGCATTGCTGCATGCCATCCCAAGAGTACAAATTGTCAAATGTTTAGATCATTTGGTTGCCTCCAAAAACAAGTGTGACATAACCTTTGGATCAGGGAGTTATTTTTTTCTCTGAAATCCCATTATCCATGCCAGATGCTGCAGTCATTCATTGCAAACATGGACACAGCACTTCTGCAATGGAACTTGCAAAGAAATTTAATGTGATAAATTAGATGCTGTGAATTGGATATTGCAATCTCGGAGCAATGATATTTCTACTAAAATAGTAATCCAAAAATGTTTTCTTAAAGATGGCTTCCCAAGTGATAGCGCTCTCAAGAATATGACAGTGTTATGGATTCAGGATTTACAGATGCATTGCTAACTCTCTTGAATGCCAGTGCATTCAGTAATGTTGATGCACATTCCTTGTGACAATCAATGAAAATTTGGCATTTACTGCAGGAGTGCAGTCCACTGATGAATTAATAGCAGAACACCAGCCTACAGGAAAATTAATGAGTATTGTTAACAGTAAAAGTGAGGAAAATGACACAGATAAATTAGAAGATTCAATAGAAAAGAAAATTTGGAGCTACAAGAAAGCCCTTAACAAGTCTGTCAGTTGCAAAACTTGCTGATGCAAACAACACAGAATTATTAACATATGAAGAAAGAAATGAAATGGAAAAGTGTACTGCTGCCAACAAAACAAGACAGACTTTCATTGCTGATTTTTGGAAAAGAATGTAAAATATGATTATTCAGTATACAACTGTACAGTGTACGTAAGACTGTGTGTGTGTATGTGTGTGTAATTACATGCATTTGCAGTGCATTTCTCTTTCATTTTTCTGGGTTTAGTACATATGCATGCGTACACAATTGGATATGTGAAGAAATATTTTTTTATAAGACAGAAACCCGAACAAAACAAAAAATCTTATCCAGTACAATAAATTTCCATTTTAGGCAGGTTTTACTATACATCTATAAAAGGTAGAGATGTTGCAAGCAGTCTAACCAGGTGACTGGCAAAATCAAAAGGAATCTGCTGTTACTGTTTTGAATAAACTGGAAGACAAAAATTTTGTTAATCTCATCATGTTTTCAAATGAAGCCATCTTCCAGCTTTCAGGCATGTTCACATGGTTCAGAAAATTCCCATGTGTTCTGAAAATTTGAGCATGATGTTAAATATATTAAATATAATTATTACTTGTTTAAAAAAGCTGGCAACGCTGATTTTTGCAACCCTCTTTTTTTATTAATGGTGGCAACCTCAATGTAAGTTGGTCTTGAGTGTATTATTTAAACCATTTATATTAATAAATGTTTGTTCTAGTTAGGTTTGTGCTCTGCTTGTGTCTGATTAATAAGTAAAAGCTAATACGACAAAACAACACATGATAGCCTCAAAATTAATGTGTAGTATGTATTGGTCTAATGCATAGTCAATTAATTGATCCCTTTTTCTTTGCTGATAAAATGGAGATGACAGTAAACTACCTGGATATTACCTATTATCTTTTACCTCACAAGCAGAAGACTTATCAGAAGATCTTATGTTCCAGCAAGATAGAATTCTGCCTCACTGGAGGATAATTGTTCACAAAATCTTTCATCAATTGTTCACAATTGATGAAAGATTTCCAAGAAGGTGAAGAGAGTATAATGGGCCTACACCTCAATCTCTTAAATCATCTCCTTGAACTTTTTTCTGTGGGTATACATAAAGGTTTACAAAACCAAAGTTTCCAAAATGAAAGTGTTAAAAACAAATATCAAATGAGTGATTGTGATAGTAGACCAAGGGATCTTGGAAGGACATACAAAAAAAAAAAATCATTTATAGGCTTGATGATATCTTGCATGTATCCAATGATGCTTTTGAAGTGAGTTTATGAATTCCAATGGAACTTTTTCAATTACTGTTTGAAATTTAAAAAAAAATCATTTTTACTTTTTCCATTCTGTTCAAAAATTATTAACAAAATTGTTCAGATAATTTATGGGCACCTTGCAATTTTATCAGGTATTTCAAAACATTACTGTATATATTATTTTCTGTCTTTCATGTTTCATTTATTTTAATTTTAATTTACTGCTATTAGAAATATTTCTATTTTATCAATAACTTTCAAATTGATTGTTGAAATTAACTTAACACAAAATGAGCCATTGAATATCCAAGTCATAAATTAATGTAATTGTTTAGACTAATATATCTATACCAGGGCTTCTTAATCTTTATCCATTCATGACCCCTTTTTACCAGAGAAAATTTTATGCAATCTCAGTAAATAGGTCTATAAAATAGGTGTACAAATAAAATCACTTGACGAAAATAAATCATAAAACCATTTATTTCTAATTCTTTAATATACATATTATTTTACCATTTATTGCCATTTATTAAAGACAAAAGCAAATTTGACAAACTGATCTTACATACATTTCCAGCAAAGTGTATGTCTAGAAGGACAGTATGTTTCCATCTCATTAGTATGCAAATGTTCATACTAACAAGATGAATGTGCTTGTTTATTTTTGCATAAAAAGTTAAATCTTGGATGAATATTTGATACTGTGGGAAGCAAGACACCTTTAACATTTTTCAGAGTTATTAGTATTTTAATTTTACAATTGTCAATGATGAAAATGAAAAAGGATACAACAAATATAGCAAGAAGCATAATGAATAGATTACTGTATATCAATATAATAACGAGAATTTAAATAACACTGTCCTGCCCATTTCAACACACAATGATAAGAGTAAACATCTTAATTTAAGTAAGAATTTTGATTCAGGAATTAAAAAAATCAAATCTACAAAGTTTGGCATTCAAAACAACAGTGTGGTTTCAATTCATTCTCATGAAATTAATATTTATGAAGCCTCAGGTAAAATGCTCAAAAATGCTCTATTTTGCATTAAACCAACACCAATAGAAAATGAAAGAAACTTTTCCTTTTCTGGAATTTTTGTGTCAACACAAGGAACTTGTTTGTCAGATAAATCAATAGACTGTTTATTTATACTGAAAAGTTATTTTAATAAATGGTAAATTAGATAGATACAAATACAATTAATTTTTAATGTATTTAAAAATTAACTATAGGTAAATATGAGACAATCTTATATCTACTAATTCTACTTTGTATGATTTCTTTTGTAACATTTTTTTAAAAATAAATCCAAGTCTTTTATAAATAATCAACTTTTTTTTTAAATCTAGAGATTCTTCAGAAAAAAATCTCTCTAATTTGAAAATTTCCAATTTTAAAGAATTCAAAAAGTTTGGGAAACAATCCCTAGTCACAATATACAAGCCAAGGATTTACAAATTTTATACCTACATGCTGAAGAATGATAGCAAAAAAATTTTATTAAAATTTTTGACTCTTGGTAATTAAATTATGTTTCTCGTAAGAGCATAAAACTTTGCTGGCATTACATCACATGATGGCACATGCAATGCAATGCAATGCAATGTTTGAAAAAGTATGCAGTAGTAGAATCAGATTTAATAAGGAAATAGATTTAATTGAAAAGTAGATTTCTCTGCTATGTATCCATACAACATATGATACTTTAATTTTAATTTAAATATGGGGTGGCCTAAAAGTCGTGTTACCATTTAAAAACTGAAAAACTTTTTTATATTTATCTTTTTGAAAGAACATTTCTGTAAATGACAATATAAAATTTGGAATATTTTTTAATCTAATTATGAAAGATATTACAAATGGCCTTCATTTGCTACTCCACAAGCATGCTTCCTTTCAAGAGCATTTTTCATAAAATGGGTCCCCAATGGACAAATTTCTGTTCAAATATTTTCAGTTGCTGGATATTGCAGAGTTTGTTAATGTACACAAAATTCTTTTGGTTTCCCTAGAGATATGAAGAAATTCATTGTTGTTTTTTCCATATCTTGAAAACAAATAGTATAACACTGTCATTGCTGGTGATCTATCAGCTTTGTCTCCTGCACTTTTGTACTAACTGCACTTTGTAAGGGTACAAGTGCAAATCTTTTTGAACTAGTAAGGACATTTTGGAGATATTAAACTCACATGTGGCATTTAGTGGATGTGTGCATCTTGCTTAATGCTTTGCTCAACACAGTTCACATTTTCTGGGGAACATTTTCATTCATTTGCCTGGAACATGGTCTTTCAATTCATGGCATGTCAACCACAGAGCAGATTTAGCAGGCAGGTTCTTTACTTGATCATGGTACATGTATTTTCTTTGTATGCACACAAAGGACTGTCCATTTTCAAATTAAAATTCCACAGTTTTGATTTGCTGGGCTGTGCTGAATTTCATTTCGATAACAAATTTTCAAGGGTTGAAGTTTTAAAATATCCAAACTAAAATAAATCATCACTATTATGAAAATTGTTTTGAATTTTTTAAATGGTAGCATGACTTTTGGTCCACTTTGTATTTTAATTCAAAATGATTTTCATAATTATTTTTGCTAACCAGTATTGGAGAATCTAACAGGAACATTTCAGGTTAAAGCAATATCCTTTTCAAACAGTTGAGTTTTCGTGACCTTCAAATTCTGTTACACATGGGGTCATGACCCATAGTTTAAGAAGCACTGATCTATACAAATAAGTTGGTCAGTTAATAAATAATAATAACAATTATATATATATATATATGATTTTAAAAATTTTGTTTGAAAATTATTTATAAATATTTCAATTAGGGACTGTCCATAAATGATGTCCACACTAGAGGAGAGGAAGGGGGTTATGACAAGTCAGATAAGTTGTAATTTTATACAGTTTATGCATTTTATTATATTTATTTCAGAATTTCTTGTATGTTTCATTTTTACTTATGGTATCTATCATTCTAAGTTATAAAGGTTTTGAAGGGTTCAAGTTTTGTTGGATGTCCAAAAAGGGAAGAGTTATGGAAACTTGGACAAACTAGGACAAGAGGAGGAGTAAAAATTTCAAGAAAAAAGCAGACATGATTTATGAACAATCCCTTATTATTATTATTCAAACCTGAATCCAATAGCAATCAGGCAAATGCTAAGTATGATGGATTATTATTCAAAAAACACTGCTTCACTCTAAAATATTCACCATACATTCTTTAGCAATTGCATTGTCATGCTAAAAATCTTTGTCTTCAATAAGGTGACACTTCAAAGAATGCTGTACAAAGGAATATTAATAACTTTACTACTCACAAAACTTTATTATTCTATAATAGAGTATAAAATTACATAAAAATTATTTGTGAATGGCTTTCATGTTATTTACAAGTTAAATAAATAATAAATTGCAGAAATTTCTTTTAAAATCAATGTAAATTTTCCAAATTTTCTATTTTAAACCAGAAAACTTTTAAATTCATTTATTTACTGGTAGAAGCCAACAAAGTATTTTTCATATAAAATTTTAAGATATTTATTGTTTCATACTTTAAATGATAAGATGAAAAAAATATTATGACATTTTAGGTTTCTAGTTGAAGCAGTAGAATCTTAAAAAGTTCTTTAAAAAATTTATAATGTTTACATGTACTAAGATGCACATATAACTAGAATCATCAAGAGCTTCTGTGGGACTGGGAGGTAAACAGACTCCTTTTCCCTTCTTTTTTGTTTTTTTTTTTTTTTTTTGAACAAATGAAATACAAGCGTATAGAATGTTTCTTTATTAATAAAATGCAGTCTTAAAGATTTTACTTTTTGTTAGCAAACATAACATTAATAGTGTAAGAACCACTGTATTAGGCCCTAAGTTTTTTTGAACCTGGAAAAAATCTCCAGCTTTCCATCCCTCTTGATGGCCCTGCATATAACTAAACTGTAAAGAATTTTAAAATTGAATTTGAAATTGAATTTTTTAAATTTTTTTTACATTTAGTAAACTGATTCAAAACTCAATTAGAATATATAAATTTTAATAAATCTATGGGATTACAACATAAATAAATTTTGATACATCTACAAAAGGCTCTATTTTTACTATTTTAACTGAAAATAATAATTTCCATTTTGGAAATAAGTTTTTACCTACAAAAGCTAGATGTTCCTATTATTTCTCTGATGTTAGCTGTTTTGTTGGAGTTGATAGTGAGAAAGATAGAATTTAGACTGTTCGTGGTATCACTTTCCATCTATTACCTCTTACTACTGTATATCTAAGGTATATAGATGACATTCTTTTAGCCTGGAATAGTATGAGTTAATATATTTTGTAGATACAATTTCTGTAATTACTCAGGATTTTTATATTTCTTCTTAAATGAAGTTAAGACTATTTACAAAAATATAAAATTTTTGAGTCTATCTTAATCCTTTTTTACACCACCCCAGAAGTAACAGTCAACATGGGTTTTTTTCTTTTTGAAGAATATTTTATATTTTTGTAAATAGTCTTAACTTCATTTAAGAAGAGATATTTTGTAGATTTCCTTAGCTGATGTTTTTCCTTCTGTAATGTACACTAGTGTACATTACAGAAGGAATTAATGTGGTCACCACTAATTTTTAATGGAAATCCATTTGAAAAAGTTTCAATACCTTTGTCCAGCAAACTTTATCAATGACACTAATTTAAAAAAGTAATTTTATTCTATTGATACTTCCTTTTTATTCTTCGATATTTGTATTTTTTTAAATAAATAATGCAAAACAAAGCATAGTACAAGTTTATGAAAGTTCAAGTTTGGTTTGAATTCTTCTTAGTCCTATGCCCTTCAAAGGGAATGGTGATATTACGAATTGATGGCTTTAATTGTATCTCTTTCCACTGCTCCCGGTGTTGTGCCATGTGGATGGCTTCATACATTGTATGCCCTGTAATCATCATTACTTGGTCTGCCCACCTAATCCGACATCTGCCTCTAGGGCAGGCATGGCCAACATACGGCCCGCGATTAATCTTTCAATATTAGTTACTCAAGTCCGAATAGCTCGATGAAAAAGGTCAACAACTAGTGTTACCACCCATCTGGTTTTCACCTGGACAGTCCAGGAATTGACTCACTGTCCGGGTGAACTACTAATTTTGTCCGGGAATTTCATAGAAATTGTGAAATTATGATGAAACAAAGTTCTTGCAAAATTTTTTACAAATTTACACTATTTTAACAGCGAAAGAACTCACAATCATTGAAACTCATCTGCAATTCTGCCATGTTAGTCTGTTTACGCCAACGTGTGGCATGCAACCTGGCGCTCTTTTCCTTTTCTTTTCTTTTTTTATGTACGACCGTACACGTCTCCAATATCCAAGAGCTAAGTCATCTGTACCTGTTCTTTCTTAATTTAGGGTTACTTACATTACTCCTACACAAGTCCCTAGTCCCTAACTGTAACCAATTTAGAATTGCAATGCACGTTATTCTTCTATTGTAAAATGACATTGCGCATGTGCCAGGAATTTCTGTTCGAACAAACCTGATCTGCCGTCCAGGTCAGCGATTTTGAAAAGGTGGCAACACTATCAACAATTCACTGTGAGTTTAGAGTTACTGCTCCATCACAAATCTCTTAAGCACAGCATAGAATGTTGATAATAGATAATGCATGATAATGTGAAAAATCTATCCATAATCTCTATGTACAATTTAGTCTCTACGGGGTGACACCACAATGAGATCTCGCACCACCTCAAAATGTTCCTAGGGCAGCCTCTGCCCGTGAAAAAAGTTTTCTTTCCAATTCGGCCCAGAGGCAAAAACAGTTGGCCACCCCTGCTCTAGGACGTCTGCCATTGATCTTTCCTTCTAGGATTTGTTTCTCAAATCCATTTTTACGTCTGGAAATATGTTCCATGAAGTGAAGGTAGGATTGGTATATTTTAGTGGTAAGGTGTGTTTTGATTTTCAGTTGATTTAGGATGGAGCAATTTGTTCAGTGCTCAGTCCAAGAGATTCTCAGCATTCTTTTATATGACCATATTTCAAAGGAATTAAGTTTCTTCTGAGAAGTGGCATTTATGATCCAGGTTTCTGAGGTATAAGTAACAATCAGAAAAATAAGCATTCTTATGAGCTTTAGTTTATTAAAAATAGTGATTGCAGAATCTTTCAAAATTCTAAATAATTTAGAGGTTGCATTGTGAGCAAGGCAAATTCTGCATTTAATTTCATTATAATTCATTCGAGACTGCACATTACTCAATAAACAAAACTTACTCTAACACCTTGTAAACGTGCAGCCAAATTTATTAACTTCTAACGTTTTCAGTCATGTTAAAGTTATCTTCATCAAGAAACAACTTTAAAATTCGAACACTTAGTACATTTGCATAAATGAAAAGCTTTTCGAAAAGTTTTTGAACGATATTCTATTAAAAATTAGGTGCACCATCTTTATCAATAGCTAATATTAAAACATGAAGATAAAATAAAAACATAAAAGTAAAATAAAATCGGGACCATAAAGAGAAAATAACTACAAACATTAAAAAGAAATTAAGATGCCTGAAATATAACATATAATATATCAAGGGCATATAGTAATGTAAAAAGCATTTGAGCTGTCTGTTTCTTAAAAATGCATTTTCTGCTGTATCCGTTTCTTCTGTTTATTAGGGTTTATATCAGGCTTGAATGCCATGCCGCCGATACTTTAGTTGAAAGTTGATGGGGTGACCTCTTTGGTTGGCTTTACAGATCTGCCATGCTTCCGCATAACGACGTTGCTTAATGTCGCGAACTACTTGTATTTGTCTTACTTGGTCCCATTCAGCTTTGACTTCTTGGGGGTCGGCTAAAACGTAAGTGGCCAGCACTGTACACAGTTGTTCACTTCTTACGTTTCCTTGGTGTTCCGCTATCCTATCCTTGATAGATCTTCCAGTGGTTCCGATATACATTAATTTATTTTGTCTCCATGTGTCTGTAATGGGGATTTTATACACTCCAGGTAGTGTGTTCCTGTTGGCCTCGTCTTTATCTGATCTTAGTAGTTGGTAAATGGTAGGGTTCCTTTTATATATGATTCTTTTGTTCGTGGCTTTTCCAATGCATCTAACAATATTATTCAGCGATGCTCTATATTCTATTGTAGTAAACCCCTCAGTGTTAGGTACTTTTCTTCTCTTGCAGTGTTGGCTGGTAATAGCCTTGATATTGACCCTGTATGTATTGGCTAGCTTATATATATAATTCAGCTCTTCTGTTCTGTCCTGGGTATTGTTACATGAATGGGCTCTTGTGATGAGTGCTCAGAATGCTGCTAGTTTATACACTAGGGGGTCGTGGGAGATCCAGGGAATAAATATCGGGTTGTAGGTGGGTTTTCTGTAGACCTTAGTACAGAAATCTCCTAGGTTGTCAAATTGTATAGAAAGGTCCAATAATTTCATTATCACATCCTCCTTTATTTGTAAGAAGTGATCCAAGGTAAACAAATTCATTCACCACCTTATAGCCTGCAATTTCCTTAGTCTGTGTCAAGGAACAATCAATTATCATAACTTTCATTTTACTTCCATTAATCAGCAATCCATATTCCCTGCTCTCAGTTTCAAGACGTTTCATAATATATTTAAGTTCTGATTCGTTGGATGCTATAATAAGTGTATCGTCAGTGTATCTCAGGTTAACCTTATGTCTTCCTCCAATGGAAATGCTTTCATCTCAGTTATCTAATACCCTTCTCATTATTATTTCAGAATAGGCATTAAAGAATAAAGGGGAAAGAATACATCCCTGTCTTACACCAGCTTCAGATGTAAATGTATTAGACATAGTTTTGTTAACTCTTACTCTTGCAGAGTTATTCTCATATAAATTTCTGATCATCAAAATAAGATGGAGTAGGACTCCATGTTCTGGAGAGCAGGCCACAATTTGTGCCATTTTACAAAATCAAAGGCTTTTGTATAGTCTATGAAACAAAGATAAACTTTGACATTAAACTTTTTCAATGATTTGTCAAGCATTCAAGATTTGTCCACGAGTTCCTTTACCAGGAATAAACCCCAACTGTTCTTCAGCTATTTCAGGTAATAGGAAGGGTTTCAAATGGTTATTAATTATTTGGAGCATTACTTTACTGGCATGGTTAACTGGGCTGATAGTTCTGTAGTTACTAGTCTGTTGGTGTACCTTTTTTATAAATTGGAATAAATATTGATTTACACCATTCCTCTGGCCATCTCTCAGATTTCCAAATTAAGGAGCAGATTTTATGAAATATGTCAACACCCAGTTCTCCCGTTGCTTTTAAAATTTCAGAGGTTATGTCGTCAGGTCACGGAGCTTTGTGATTTCTTAATGTATTTATAGCTTTTTCTACCTCTGATTTAGGAATAAATGGTTCAACTTCCCCTGTCCATCCATTCTGAAGTTAACATTTCATTACCATTTATTTGTCCAGCGTCTTTATAAAGTTTCTCACAATACTTCCTCCAGACGTCCACAATCCCTTCTGCATCAGTTATGATTTCATTTTCATCATTTTTAATTATTTTTGTGCATGGTTTGAACTCTCTTGCTAGATATCTAACTTTATCATATAGTTCATGAGTCTGATTATTATTTGCATGGACTTCAATTTCATTGAATATACTATCGATATAATCATTGTCTTTCTTACAAGCTTTTTTGATTTTTTTGTCTAGCTCTTCTTTTCATATACAACAATTGCTAAAGTTAATAATTTTTCCTTTCATCTATTAATTCAAGGGTACTGCTTGTCATCCAATGTTTCTTTTTCTGTGGCCAATGTTGTTTGGTGCATTGTTGTACTCCAGTTAAAATTAAACTTTTTGTTTGTGTCCATAAATCATCTGGGTTGTTTGTAAAGGATGGAGGGTCTAAATTTTGGAGTGTCTGTTGTAAGATTGAACAAGCTGGAGTCTCAAGTCTTGGGTTGATCTTTGATATTTTTGTTGTATGGAGTTTTAATGTTACTTCTGCTTTTAGTAGCTTATGGTCAGAGTTGCAGAATGCTCCAGATCTTGCTCAGACATTAATTATTATACTGATGATTGGTTTGAATAATGACATTTTTTACTTTGGAATATCTGCTAAATTTGAACTGATTGTCAGTGGGTCATGGAAGTGGACTTCAACGAGTGAAGATCTAAATTTATTCTTTATGACATTCATCTTTGAGAATGTTGCTTCACATAAATATGTTGATCCAAACATTGTATGTAGTTTTACAGTAAATGTTTTTAGTTCTGGGTATTTACTATCATACACACATTTAATACAGAATCAAAGACATTGAAGATTATTTAAAACTTTGGCATATTTATCCTTTAAAATTAAGTCGTCTTTAAATGCAATCATTTCCATCTTCAAGACAACTTTACTATATTTTAAAAAATCTGTTTCACTACTGTTCAAACTTTGCACAAAGTTTGCATTAATATTATCATATTTACTCACATATAAGACAAAGTGTAACTTTAAAGATCAAAATAAAGAAAATTAAATTTATTAATACAGTACAATTCTAATTTTATTTTGTTTAATCACACATAAAATATCAAATGCATGTAAATGCACACATTGTCCTGCAAAAATTACTGGCATTTTAAACTTTAAGGTAAACTCTTGTAAAATCAACAACATAATTTGTTCACGTAAAGCTGGACAATTGGGAACTTTTTTTGTTACTTCTTAACAGTCAAATTCACTCTTCGTCAATTACACTTAAGAGTTTCTCCAAATAATCACCTATTTTCACATGGGAATAAATTTAAACTTATATCAGACTCCCATGTAATTCTGGAATTCAAGTTTTGCTTTTCCTATTGCTATTCATCTTTACTCCTGACAAGAACAATTCAAATGACCCAGATGAAATACTTTTGTTTTTAAACACCAGAAGGTGAGAATCCAGTAAAAAATGTGAATACATGGTTCACAAAAATTATTGCAAAAACAAAAAGAATACTTTTTTGTAAAAAAGGGCTGGCAGAAATTACAATTTAATAAAATAAAAATTGCATTAC